AGGTTGGGTACAAATTCTATCAGTCCTTCCTTGAGGATGAATAGCCTAATAGAGAAGGGAGCACCAACACCTGCCTCAACCCTAGAAAACTGACTTCTTTTCACATCTCTCTCTCTTCATCAAAGGCATCATGAAGGTAGGATTCTGGATGACAGAAGACAAAAAACCATCAGGGAATGGTCAAGGCTACTATTCAGGTCTCAGATTACAGGGTCCATCTAGTTCCTTGTTTAAAAGGTACCATCCTGTTCCATTATTTAGTCTATATTCCCATGCTGTGATTGTGTCAAGGCATTTCCATGTATTCAAATACACTGAGAAGATCAGTTATACAACTAGATATTTGGTGAAATTTAGATAATAATAAGATAATCATGGGCAACATCAGTACACTAAGAGTTATTTTATCTAAAAAAGAACAAATATAATGCACTAGGATATAAATATGCTCATTTGCACATACAATGGATATTTGCTTTTTTAATGGTCTCAATTGTAGGTACATTATCAAACAGATGCATATAATTTGTCAAAAAAGGTTGCAAGAATGTTTTTAGTTTAAGAAGAACAGTTAAACCAAGAAAATGCACCAAAATTATTCTTTCAACTGAAGACTGAAGCTAACCTAAAGCTAAATAATTTCATGAATCTATAATTAATGACAATATATTGTACACTTAAAAATTCATTGACAATAGACCTTTTAAGACATACGATAATAAAATAAATGTTTTTAATGATACCATTATAAACAATACGGTATCAGGACCAACCACAAAAACCATGAAAATTACAGAAAATTGTCATCTTGCCTTTGATCTCTGTGCCTTGTTCTAGAGCCATTAGTTGTACCCAAGTCTATTTCACCAATCATTAATCTACATACTCCAGAAGCTGTATGAGTTTAGCCAAAGACACATCAGTATAGTTTCTAGAAGATACAAGAAGGCCAAATAAGGAAAAGACATTCTAGTTCCAACCACAGGAAGATAACAGAAGAAGAACTGCATTCCCAGAGGACAGTTAGAAAGAAGTTTTAGGTGGAAAGTCCACAAAAAGAACAGACACTGGGAACAGCGGGAACATTACAATAATGCCACAGCGAGGAGGACACCACTCCCGACTCCTGCAGCCAACAGATGGAGAGGATGCCATCTTCTTGAAGCAAGTCATACAGCAACCAGTGGGGAGGAAACACCATCTCAGTAAAGCAAGTAGAGGCTGCTGCAGCTCATGTACTACGGCAGGATTTTATCAGAGGTATAAATCTGAGGACCCCATTGATTTTGAGTCTTCCCTGTAGGGTTGCAAGGAGGCAGGGCATCAGTTAGGCCCATGAAGCTCTCCCTCCACCATCTCATTCTATCATTGCCCCATACCAGGACCATACTTGCTAAGGGGAGCACTGACCAGCCTCTATGGTTTGGCAGCTGGTTCTGAGAATGTCACAGTTCTTCAGTAGACAGGGGCGGCTTATGGGGTGGAAATTTGATGCTCTGCTCCCTCTGACTGTGGGAGACCTAACCCTGTAACCCTGTAACCCTGTGACTGTGAGAATTCTGTGACTGTGCGATAGGGCAGTGACTGTGTCTGGCTTCAGAGGCCCAGGGTTCCACTCTCACACGGAGGACTGCCCACAGTTACACAGTTGAGGCACCAGCATGAGTGAGGTGCCTGGGCACTGTGGGGCTGAAGGCAAGCTTGCCCTGGGTGGGTGGTTCACCTTGGCAGGAAGGAGATGACCATGTGATCATGCCAGCCAACAAGATCATACCCTCCTACTGCTGGTAATAGAGATCTACGATGCCCAAACTTGGGTGTCACCCTGGACTCTTGCCTTACCCTCAAGCAATGGCCAGAGTTACCTGGCCCCACCCAGCATACACTTCCACTGAAGGAGCAGATACTCCACTAAGCCACAGACATATTTTTAAAAGATAAAAGCCACTGATTGTCTGCATATAAAGGGAATTGAAAATTAATCTTGATGTGAATGGAAGGGGAGAGGGAGCAGGAAAGGGGAGGGTTGCGGGTGGGAGGGAAATTATGGGGGGGGCATTGTAATCGATAAGCTGTACTTTGGAAATTTATATTCATTAAATAAAAGTTAAAAAAATAGTAAAATATCTGTGAAAGGGTTTGGAACTGTGTTATATAGAACTGTTAGGAGCTTTAGAATACATTGAAGCTTTATATTGCTTGCAAGTTTATTTTGAGGGGCAAGCATTTGATGTAACATGTAAGATGCTACTTGAGATGCCTACATTCTGTATCAGAGTCCCTGAGTTCAAGCTCCATTCTTGACTCCAGCTTGGTGCTAATGCACACTCTAGGAAGCAGTAGGTGACTGTTCAATTACTTGGGTCCCTGTCTCCCATCTCCCGTCTCCCATGTGGGACATCTGGACTGAGACTAGCTAGGAGATTCTCTCTGTCTCTCTCTCTCCACTCCCCTCGGTTTTTCTTACTTTCAAATACAATTTTAAAAAGTTTATTTTGAATGCTATATAAAAGTTAGTTTTGTTAATTAGATTTGATGTGATTTCAACATTCTTGTACTATGTTCTCCCTACAGTGTCAAAACTGCCGTCCAGTTCCACTCATTTTATTGTGTTGTCTCTGTCATTATGGTCCTTAACAAAATATTTACACTATTGTCTCCCAGGCAGCCGGGGCTTTTTGCTGGCCTACTTGACCTTTACATCCCTTCCTATAGTGCTTTACACTGCTGTAAACTTGAAAGCTCACATCCTATTCTTTACCAGATCTCTGGATTTGGCAAGGGTCCTTTCTAAAGTTATCCAATGACTGCAGGCCAATATGATGAAGCAATTCATACCAAATTGTTAATAAGAAGTGACCAGCCACTAGGCAAGGCTATTCTTTATCCACCTAAGTTGTAAGCCATTAGTGATCCTCCAAGAAAAAAATAAAAAAAAGATAAAAGCCAACAGAGGAGAAAACCAACAAGTGCTTCCACAGATGTTTAAAGACAAGGAAGATAATATGACTCCCCAAAAAGAACATAACACACAGTATTAGAATGTGAGGACAGATTGATGAAACACCTGAAAAGGAATTCAAAAGAATGATCATAAGATTACTCAAAACACAGAGAAGTAAACACCTGAGATAAATAAATCCATACAAAACATGGGTGAAAATTTTGCTGGGAGGTAGAAATATTGAAGAGAAATCAAACTGAAATAATAGAAATGAAGAATTAAATATGTCTGGCCAGCACCGTGGCTCACTAGGCTAATCCTCCACCTTGCGGCGCCGGCATACCAGGTTCTAGTCCCGGTCGGGGTGCCGGATTCTGTCCCGGTTGCCCCTCTTCCAGGCCAGCTCTCTGCTGTGGCCAGGGAGTGCAGTGGAGGATGGCCCAAGTGCTTGGGCCCTGCACCCCATGGGAGACCAGGAGAAGTACCTGGCTCCTGCCATCGGATCAGCACGGTGCGCTGGCCGCAGCACGCCAGCCGCGGCAGCCACTGGAGGGTGAACCAATGGCAAAAAGGAAGACCTTTCTCTCTGTCTCTCTCTCACTGTCCACTCTGCCTGTCAAAAAAAAAAAAAGAAAAGAAAAAGAAAGAAAGAAAGAAAGAATTAAATATGTCAAACAGTTTTAAAATACAGTGGAAATCCTTAACAACAGACTTGATGAAGCAGAAGAAAGAATATCCAAGCTAGAAGACAAATGCTTGGGAAGATCTCAAACTAAATAAGAAAAAAAAAAAAGAGGAAAAAATGAGGAAATTTAAAGAGTATTTAAAGAGTATTTAAAAAATACTGTTTGAGATTTATGGGATGTTATCAAACAACCAAACATACATGTCTTAGGAGTTTGTGAAGGTGTTGAAAGACAGAATGGAATAGAAGTCCTATTCAATAAAACAATAACAGAAATTTTCCCTCATTTGGAGAAAGAAAGGGACACCAAGTACAAGAAGTACTAATAGATCAGAAAAGATCTTCACCACGACATATTATAGACAAAATGTCAACAGTGAAACATAAAGAAAATATTATAAAATATGCGTGAGAGAAACACCAGATTGCCTTCAGAGGATCTCCAATTAGACTAACAATGATTTCTCATAAGAAATCCTACAGGCTAGGAGAGAAAGGGGAGATACAGTCCAAGTCCTAAAAGAAAAAAACTTTCAACCCAGAATACTGTACCCAGCAAATCTCTCATTTACAAATGAAGGTGAAATAAACACCTTCCAACACAAACTGAAATTGAAAAAACGTTGACCATTCATCCAGCCTTATAAATGATATTTAAGGATGTGTTACACACAAAAACAGAGAAAGATAGTTATCATCATGAAAGAATGCTAAGGCAGAAAATCTCCCAGTAAAAGTACAAACAGCAAAGATTTTTTATTAATGAGACCATACTCCACCGGACTGTTCCAACACACAATTTGCTCCTGGACCCAAGTTTGCTAAAAAGACTTTCTTTCTCAATATCTTACTAGATTTCCATTTAACATATAACAATATTCAGTAGCTCCAGTACACCACATACCTCAGAAGTCAGTTTCCATTGACTAGTTTCAACTATCATTCTCATGTGAGGTAAATAAATCATTACAATATATTTAATTCTGAAAGTCAAACTTGAATATAACAATTACTAATCGCCCGATGACTGGGATTAGACTCAGCAAAAGTCATTCGTTTTTACCAATGTCCAAGAGCCAGGGAAAAGAATATATCCCAAAAATCAAACAGCAATCAATTTCAATTTCTAACAGTTCCTAAAACATAATTAACCAAACATCTATCTCAAAAATATTTTAAAACTCTAAATTCTCCTCCCAAACTCTCTTACCACAAAAAAAAAAAAAAAAAATACACTTACTACCACAGCTCTTAGTCATTTGCTACCTAATTTAACATCACCCTTTCTAGGATTCCTGGCTGTAAGGATGTTCTGTGATGTGGTGTTCTCAGCAGAAAATTTCAAAAGCAAAATAGCATGGTTTTACTCACGAGAAGTTTTGGAAGCCAGAAGGGTAACTCGGGAACCTCCTAAGAAACGAAAACCCATCACATTCACCTGGTCATCTTCTGATTGATTGGCAAATCCTACAAAGAAGAGGAAAAATCATCTAATGTGATCACAAAGAAAAAATGTAACAATTAAAATAGGAAACTTTGGTGAATAAGTTGTTAATATCACTAGTTATGACCAGTAGAGCTTCATGAAAAGAATTTAGTGCCAGGGCCAGCGCTGTGGCGTGGCAGGTAAGGCTGCCACCTGTAGTGCCGGCATCTCATATGATGCTGGTTCAAGTTCCAGCTGCTCCACTTCCAATTTAGCTCTCAATTATGGCCTGAGAAAGCAGTGGAGGATGGCCCAAGTGTTTGGGCCTCTGCACCCATGTGGGAGACCTGGAAGAAGTTCCCGGCTCCTGGCTTCAGATTGGCTCAGCTGTGGCCTTTGCGGCCATTTGGAGAGTGAACCAGTGGATGGAAGACCTCTCTCTCTCTCTCTCTCTGCCTCTGCCTCTGTGACTTTGCCTTTCAAATAAATAAATAACTCTCTTAAAAAAGAGAGAGAGAAAATTTGAGTACAAACTTAAAGAGACTATCACTGGCCAAAGACAAATATATTTGAGTATCATAAAAGACAATAACTGCAATGCAGTAAAATATATGAAATACATTTAAAGATATGAGTTATATACAGAAACTAAAAGCAAAACACAAATAATTATTACAAGATCCCAGAAAATCATCTCTGTTTATTTAAAACTATAAATACAGATGTTCCTCAAACAAGTGAAAAGGAAAGGCAGGTGCGTGGCAGTGTTAAAGTCACCACTTAGGATGCTTGCATCCCGCGTCAGAGTGCCTGCCTCAAGTCCCAGCTACTCTGCTTCCCATCCAGCATTCTCTAAGGCACAGTGGGGGGCAGCAGGTGATGGCTCAAGTACTTGCCTTCCTGCACCCACCTGGGGAGACCCATATGAAGTTCCTGGCCCAGCTCAGCCTGGCCCAGCTCAGCCTGGCCCTGCTCTGGCTGTTCTGTGCATTTGGGGAACATACCAGAGGATAGAAGATATCTCTCTCCCTCTGTCTTCCTCTCTCCCTCTCCCTTGCTCCTCTCTCTCTTTTCTCTCTCTTTCTCTCTCTCTCTCTCTCTCTTTCAAATAAAGTGAAACTAAGTAGAGGGTTTTTTTATTTAAAAAAAGAACATCAATATAAAAAGTCTACTGTTCACCTGTGGCCCCCTTGGAACTGTGGAGGGCTGCTGGAAACACAACTTCTAAAAGGCAAATGCTGGCCGGCGCCACGACTCAGTAGGCTAATCCTCCACCTTGCGGCGCCAGCACACCGGGTTCTAGTCCTGGTCAGGGCACCGGATTCTGTCCCAGTTGCCCCTCTTCCAGGCCAGCTCTCTGCTGTGACCCGGGAGTGCAGTGGAGGATGGCCCAAGTGCTTGGGCCCTGCACCCCATGGGAGACCAGGAGAAGCACCTGGCTCCTGGCTTCAGATCAGCGCGGTGCGCCGGCCGCGGAGGCCATTGGAGGGTGAACCAACGGCAAAAAGGAAGACCTTTCTCTCTGTCTCTCTCTCTCACTGTCCACTCTGCCTGTCAAAAAAAAAGGGGGGGGGGGGCAAATGCTTCTAGAAAGCTGTGTGGTTCAAGGCTATTTTTGATTGCTATAAGCAGAGTCCCTGGAACCAAAAGGAGCATACAACTTTTCCTAAAATTGAAGATATCTGTGCCTGAGATGAAACTGAATTCTATCCTGGCAAGAGATACACCAAGGTGTAGAAGAGAAAGAACAGAATGACTCCTGGTGGCACCAAATAAAACCAGAACAATCTGGGAAAGGTAACTCAAGCCCACAGAAACATGGTTCATGTCCAGTTCCAATCAACTGTTCTGCTAATGTCACTGGGTATACAACCCACGTGATTTTCTGCCTCTCAGGGATTTAAACGATTGAAAAGTAAATAAAGTGGATATGTTTAAAAAAGTAAACAAAAGTCTATGAGATTTAGGGAACAGCAACAAGAGATCTCATACAACAGTACGACAGTTAGAGAAGGAAAAGAAAAATAGAAAGAGGTAAAAAATTATTTAAAGAAATAATAGCAGAAAACTTTGCAAATTTGGGGAAACACATAAATATTCAGATACAAAAAGTACATGGCATCAAAAACACAAAATGAAAGAAGAGAGGGATGGGATAAAAGTGTAGAGTTTTTATATGCAATGTAAGTTGCTTTTATGAAACTATAAAGCTATGAGCCGGTAACTACGAAATGTTCTACTTAAGCTTCACAGTAACCATAAAAAGCTACAGAAGCCATACAAAGATTAAAAAGTAAGAAATCAAAGCATACCACTAATCCCAAAAAAAGATAGTGATAAAGGAAAGAAAGATTCGTAAAACAACCGGGGCTAGCACTATGGCATAGCAGGTAGAACCACCACCAGCAGTGCCGGCATCCTGTATGGGCACCAATTCGAGTCCTGGCTGATCCACTTTTGATCCAGCTCTCTACTATGGCCTGGGAAAGCAGTGGAAGACGGCCCAAGTCCACGGCCCCTGCACCCACATGGGAGACCCAGAGGAAGCTCCTGGCTCCTGGCTTCAGATCAGCTCAGCTCCAGCCACTGCAGCCATTTGGGGAGTGTAGTGGCAGATGGAAAACCTCTCTTTCTCTCTGGCTCCACTTTTCTCTGTAACTCTTTCAAATAAATAAAATGAATGTTTAAAAAATAAAAAATAAAAACTGCATCTTTAGTAAACATTTACAGATTGTTTTTCTTAACATTACTCCTAAATAATGAGGAATAACAACTCATTACACAGCATATACACTGTATCAGGTATTACAAGTAAATTTAGAGATGATTTAAAGTAGATGAGAGGATGTATATAGGTTTGTGCAATTACTAGACCACTAGATTATGTAAGGGACTTGAGCATCCACAAAGCTGGGCATCTCTGAGGAGTACTGGAAGCAATATACCATGAATACAGAAGGATGATTATAAAAATCAAGAACAAAAATATCTTTACAAAAATTCCAAGTATTTAGAAAATACTTTTTTAATGATTTATTTATTTATTTGAAAGATAGAGTTACAGAGACGGAGGGAGACACACACACACACACACAGAGGGAGAGAGAGAGAGAGAGAGAGAGAGAGAGAGAGAGATCTGCCATCTGCTGGTTTACTCCCCAAATGGCCACAACAGGCAGGGCTGGGCCAGGCCAAAGCCAGGAGCGAGGAGCTTCCTCCTGGTCTCCCATGTGGTGCAGGGGCCCAAGCACTTGGGCCATCCTCCGCTGCTTTCCCAGGCACAGAAGCAGGGAGCTGGATTGGAAGTGGAGCAGCAGAAACTCGAACTGCAGGCAGCAGTTTAACCCACTGTGCCACAGAGCTGATCCCTAGAATATATATCTAAATAACACTGGGGCCAAAAAAGAAATTAAAAAGCATTTTAGACTCCATGAAAATGAAAACACAACATTTCATAATGTGCAGGATGCAGCTAATGGACTATATAAAAAGAAAATTTATAGTATTAACAGATTACATTAAAAAGAAACTAAAAAATGAAGAGCAAATTAAATCCAAATTAAGGAGAAGTAAAATTAAAGAAAATCAAAGAAATGTAAAATAAAAAGCAACAGAGAAAATAATAAAATGGAAACATGATTCTTTCCAATATTCAATAAAAGGAATAAACCTCTTGTAAACAGATCAGGAAGGCCGGCACCGTGGCTCCCTTGGCTAATCCTCCACCTGCAGCGTCAGCATCCCATATGGGCACTGAGTTCTAGTCCCGGCTGCCCCTCTTCCAGTCCAGCTCTCTGCATTGGCCTGGGAATGCAGTGGAGGATGGCCCAAGTGCTTGGGCCCTGCACCTGCATGGGAGACCAGGAGGAAGCACCTGGCTCCTGGCTTCGGATCGGCACAGTGCCAGCCAGAGCAACCATTTGGCGGGTGAAGCAACAGAAGGAAGACCTTTCTCTCTGTCTCTCATTCTCACTAACTCTACCTTTCAAATAAATAAAAACTAAAAATAAAAAAAAAATCAGGAGAGAAGACACAAATTACCAATATGAGTAATAAATGAGGTTTCATTATTAAAGATTCTAGAGACATTAAAAATATAATAAAGAGCTATTGTAAACAACCAATGGCAATGAACTCAACAACTTAAATGAAATGGACACAGTCTTTCAAAGACAAAAACTAAAAAGCTCACTCACGAAGAAACAGATAACCAGAATAGTCCCAAGTCTTAGGAAAAAATTAAATTTATGGTCTAAAAACTAGCCTTTAAGTAAAGAGAACTGTAAGCCCAGATCACTCACTAGTGAACCCTATTAAAATAAAAAAGAATAAAACTTCTACATACTCATATAAAAAAATTGAGAAAGAAAATAATTCTCAACTCATTCCACAAACATCATTTTTTATGATACACCCTCACAATTATTGGGGAAATGAAGTACAGATTAATATCCCTGGTGAACATAGCTGTAAAAATTCTAAAGTATACCCAGTTCAAGTCCTGGCTGCTTCACTTCCAGTCCAGCTCTCTGCTATGGCCTGGGAAAGCAAGATGGCCCAAGTCCTTGGGCCCCTGTACCCATGTGGGAGACCCAGAAGAAGCTCCTGGCTCCTGGTTTCAGATTGGTACAGCTCCGGCCATTGTGGCCAATTGGGGAGTGAACTAGCAGATGGAAGACCTCTCTCTCTCATTGCCTCTCCTTCTCTCTCTGTGTAACTCTGACTTTCAAACAAAATAAATAAATATTAAAAAAAAAAAAAAAACTACAAAACCTCACTGAAAGAAATGTACCAAGGCTTAAACATATGAAGGCATGTACTTTCATCTTAAACAATTAGAATAACTAAAGCAAATTCTATTGTAACATCGTTAAGATCTCGGACCTGCATTGTGGCATCCCATTGCTGGCTTCTCTGCTTCTGATCCAGCTCCCTGCTCTTGTCCCTGGGAAAGCAGCAGACAACGGCTCAAGTACTTGGGCCCCTGCCATCCATATGGGAGACAGGATGGAGTTCACTGCTCCTGGTTTTGGCCTGACCC